CCCCAAAACCCCAAAACCCCAAAACCCCAAAACCCCATGCTGAAAATAGAAAGAGTTAAAAAAGCAACTAGTAAATGATATCAATTTTATGAATTTTAGTTAGAGCAGAGGATTTCGAATTAATAAATAATAACCAGTTAGGATAAATTAGAATAAATCAATTATTGTTCTAAACTTCAATGAAAAAAACAACTGTAAAAGCTAAAGGAGATAAGGGTGATTTTTCATCATTTGTAAACAAACGTAAGTCAGAAGCGAAACCTTTAAATCGAAATTCATCGATAAAGGACTAAGAATAGTCCTCGCTTTAAAAGAGGAAAGAGCGATTGAGTATACAATTAGAGGAAGCAAAGATCAACTCTTAAGCATTGACTAAACATGCTTGGTAAATTAGGTCGCTTAAGGTAATAGATGCGGAAAATAACATAACTAAGATTTAGTTAGGAAAAGGAAAAAAGAAGAAAAAGATGACTTAGATTATCAGAAATATCATTACTAGACCTGATAATCCCAGTTATATTGAGATCTAGGAAAACAATGATGTTGTGTAAACAACAATAGAAGAGTTTACAGGAACTAATTGATAAAATAGCTTTTAAATCAACAAAAGTTTTTCAGACAGAAAGGAAACAATCATAATTAGTAATTAAGCAGAAGATTATAGAACTTAAGATAGTCTTTAGTAATAATCTCAGCAGTAGGATGTTACATTACCTTTGCAAAGATAGTGATCTGATTCCTTAAAGAATCTGAAGGATATTTAAAAAGGTATTGAGCAATAAATCAAAGACATGCAGGAGGTGTTTCTGAATAAACTAAAAAAAATCAAAAAAAAGAATAACCAATCTCTTAATCTAACCATCACACCCACAAATCCGTCTTCATTTTTGTAGACTCCACTATTCAAGCAAACATCTGTGGAAAAGATTGATAGAGACATATAAGTAACTCTAGAATCTGAGAAGAGCCAAACTCCCAAAATAAGATAAATGACAACTTAATAAAATATTGACAGTCCTTAATTCAGGACTATTCCAATGGTTAAATAAGTAACCATTATGAGAAAATCTACAATCAGGAAGAAAGATGATGCTAGAGAGTCAACTCCTTCAGCATCTAATAGGAATTCAAAACTAAGTTGACAATCAGAGGCTTAGTCTAAGAACTAAGATGATTAAGTTAAAAAACTAACTTAATAAGTTATTGCTTTAACTTAGATGGTGTTAGAATTACAATCAAATAAATCCAATAATATATCTCCAGTCCCTAATGACATCCCTTATTAATATGAACAAACTTTCTAGCAAGTGCACACTAATGATACTAATAATAACTTTTCAAGTACATTTAAAAATATTCATTTAAACCGTATCAAAGAAAATAACTAGTCTTAAAATGGAAACTTGTTCAACAAATTAACTCAGAAAATGAGTTAAGGCATAAGGACAGAAAGTTAGTCTTCACATTCTCGATATAGGAGCGAAACTAATCTTTCTAGATATATTGAAGATAAGAAGATAATGACGATGAATCAAATGAAGTAATAACATTTTAATTTTGGTAAATAGACAGTTATATATGATCGAGGTAATACAATAGCAACTGCATCAATCAATGATTCATAGCATCTTATTCTAAATCAGAGTCATCTTGCAACAGACTCAACCTAATATGCAAATAAGTAATTCTTAAATAATTATCAATGATTTTTTAGAATGCGTCAAAGGGTAAGAAGTAGTTCTTAGTTTGGAGGAGATTCTTTCGGTGAATTAGTATATAAATAATATTAGCCTAGAGTAATTGATGTCAGTCAAAAGTAAATTTAAACATATATTTTTTAATCACTTTAGGTTAAACGATCAGCATTACCTCAAAATTAAAGAATTAAGAGAAAAATAAAATAAATATGCGAGGAGGGTGACCACAAATTATTTACCGCCTATTGATTTGAAGAAGAGAGATGAAATAAATAGAAGGATTTTGATGATGAAAATATAAGAGATTCCAAAAAATGATGCGTACAGATACAGGAAAATTGGGATTAGAACTCTCAATCAGAGCATTAACTCTACAACATAAATCCAGTCTAAATAATCGCTAGCAAAAAATGTTAAAAATTAGCTTGCCTTGTCAGATGAAGGTTACTTACCAATGAGCGTTCAAATGTCTAAATCAACATTATAGCCCTCCGAGCCATTTTTAAGTTCACTCCAAATTAGTGCTAAAAATAAATCTCGAAAAAGAGTTAAGCTTTTGCCTCTTGATAAATTAGAAGAGAGATTAGATATCATGCAGTTATGAAGAATCAGTTAATGTAAGACTCAAATTTGAGATATACATTCAACTTTTAATTAAAGTTATCGTCAAGAACATATAAATATTTTATTTTAATCTATTTTCTAGTATATCAATTCTTATCTTCCTTTTGGGGTTTTGGGGTTTTACATTTCTATTTCACCAAT